AGTAATGAAAAAGATAAATTGAGTACGTATTTCGATTAAACCAACAAACGAGCAAATAAATCAAAGAAACCAGTAAATTTATTAATCGAGTACACTAATTTAGTTAATGAATCGAGTGAGTCAATTATTCGAGTGAACGAGTAAACTATTTTGAATAATTGAGTAAATTAATTAGTAAACAAATTGAGTAAACGAACCAAGTTATGAGTAAACAAATCTAATAAAAAAATCGAGTAAATAGAAAAAATAAGTAAAAAAATCTAGAAAATAAATCGAATAAACGAGTAACTTAATAGTCAGAAAATAAATAAATTGTTAAATAAATCGAGCTAATGATTTTGTAAATCAAGTAAACATAAATTTAGTTAATTTATCGAGCAAACGAGTTACAAATCTTGTAAAAACCCGAGCAAACCAAGTAAATAAACTGAGCAAACAAATCAAGTGAACAAGTAAATAAATCAATTAAACAATTCAATAAATCGAGTAAACGAGTAAAAATCAAGTATACGAGCAACCATGAATTTAGTTAATTTATCAAGTAAACAGATCTACAACAAAAAATCTAGTAAAGAAGTAAATACATTAACCAAACAAATCAAGAAGTAAAAAAATCGAGTACAAGAATTGAGTAAACATATCAAGTAAAAAGAGTCAGTAATCGAGTAAACAGATCTAGAAAAAAAACGAGTAAACAAAATAAATAAACTGAGTAAACAAATCAATTGAACAAGTAAATAAATCAAGTAAACTAGTAAATTAATTTTATTAACGAATGGAGTAAATATATCAAGTAAACGATTCAATAAATCGAGTGAATGAGTAACAAAATCAAGTAAACGAGCAAAAATGAAATTAGTTAATTTATCGAGTAAACAGATCTAGAAAAAAATCGAGTACAAGAATTGAGTAACCATATCAAGTAAACGAGTCAGTAATCGAGTAAACATAAATTTGGTTAATTTACCGAGTGAACGAGTAAAGAGATCTAGTAATAAAAAATCGAGTAAACAAAGTAAGTAAACTGAGCAAACAAGTCAAGTCAACGAGTAATTAAATCGAGTAAACGAATCTAGAAAATAAATCAAGTAAATGAGGTAATGAGTAAACGAGTAAATGAATCGATTCAACAAATAAACGTACTAAGTAAGCGTCAAAAAACCATCGATAAAAAACCAAAAACAAAAAATTAATACATTGTTTTAATGGGACAAATCTTACTGAAAATTGTTGTGCAAACATTAAACTGATCTCCAACCTTAAAACATGTTAGAAATCGCATGAACTCGCATTATTTTCCTCACTCGAGTTTATTTTGAGTATAAATAATCGTAAGCGACGACTTAAGGTAGATTATATTAATACATGCCGTTCTAAGGTTTTCCAAGAACATACCATATCCTGTTCTAAATGGGATTGTCCCTTTTTCAGCTTTTAAGCACACCGTTATTCCGAACAACATCGGTTTCGACGCATTGCAACCCCAAGTTATTTAAAATTAAGCGTTCGACCTGGCTGTTATACTTTCATAATATTCCTTTGGTTTAAATAATAAATTCTATGACTTACATATTTTATTAACTTTACGAATCCAGAACAACCTAATACAAAGTTAACGACAAAATATTAATGGTGTTGGCGTTGAAGTTTCAAAAGCTGCTTGTTAGAGCTACAAAAAAACGTAAAATAAAAATAAAAGTGCTTACATAGAAAAATAACAAATATTTAACAAGTATTAACTACAACGTTTTCAAAAAAGGAAAACATAATGCTATGTCAAAGGAAATGATTGGCTTCCGGTAAATAGATTACCTATTGTGAATAGCCACGTGTTCAAGCAACGATTTCAAAATAAAAATATTAAATATTAAAACTCTCGAAGGGACTTAAAGGTCGAGTTTATTTTTTTTTATTTCGTTTAACTTAGTTACACGTTTTATAAAAGAAAAACCTTTTTTAAACCTTTTAGAGGCTCATGTAGTGAAGATGTTAAGCTTTAGACCAAAAAAACATTTTTTTTTTCAAATCGGTTAGGTGGTTTTTTTTTAGTCAGTTCTACAAGTTTTAGTATTTATTTGTACAAAATTATGTTACTTTCACCCACCTTAAAATGCATAAAATATATTTTGGGTAAACACTGAAAACAAATACTATACATCAGCTGATTTGTCAAGTATTAATCACATGAAAAAAATAAAACTTTAATGTGTACTTGATTTTTTTTTTAATGTAATTTCCTTTATTTTTTTTTATGCCAATATGTTATTACATAGCCGATGAATAAAATCAGACAAACTGATTGGTTCGAGGACAGAGAATTTTGATATGACTATAATATTAAAAGAAATCTACAATAGTGTTGAAGACGTGTGAGAAGCACCCGAAGCGCCTTGCGGAGATTTCAAAAGTTAAAACAGAGTACACATTGTTGTTATTATTATTATTATTACAAGACATAAATTATGACTTTGGTGAGAGCTGAAAGGGAACAATAAAACGACGATAGGATTAAGTATACAATTTTGTAATGAAGACAAACCATCAGTTAGGGCGAGTGAGGTTAATATGGGTTCAAGTTTTTGGAGACAATGGTCGCTTTGAGGAGCACATCAAAATATGATATAGTATACAAATAATAATTATTATTGTACAAGGTGTAAAAATAAAACACATATTATATAAAATAGATCTTCTACAATTATTTTTTTTTATTTCAACTGTAAATAAATTACCCGTTACTTGCTATTTAAAGAAACACATAATATTATATTGTTTTTTATTCAATTTAAATCCCATTTGCAGTCAAATTATCGTCGACGAGTAACGTGCGAAAATCACAATATTGTACGATTAGTAATAATTGTTATTTTACTCCTTTCTACAGAGCCTTGGGCTAATCTCGTTTTTTTTTCTTGACATGTAGACAGTTACAGCTGCTATAAGCTGGACCATAGGTGACACCGTGTTAGATATGAGACAGTAACAGAGCATAAAATTACTTTCGCTTGATTTCAGGCGGCGTGAACTCTGTTGGTAGGTAAGTAGTAAAAAAATGTGTGAACAATTAGTTAACTGATACTAAATATGTACAGGACGGTTCATTAAGAATAAATCACTAATTTTCACTTGAAACAATTATTGCAGTTTTGCGGTTTATCTTTTTGCAGACTTGATTTAGTCGTTTGTTATACTTTTACAGTATTTAAATGTTTATGGAGGTTTTTTATTGTATTATTCAAAGCTTAGAAGTTGATAGAACTGTGTAAAATAATCGAAAATGTAAGTATTTAACAATTTTGTAAAACCACATGATCAAAAATGTTTCCAAAAGAAAATCTACAAAATAGCAAATGAGTGTATTATGCTCACATTAAAAATAAAACATTATTATTATTTTTTTTTTTTTTTAAACCACTTATCCTTTTTGATTTGTATTACTTTATTTACAATATCTAAGCGCATATATTTAAGGGGCGACATTTAGTTCATCACTTTTACCAAAATTTCATCTAAATTTTCCTAAACCGTTTCGAAACGGCTAGTCTCTCGTCAGTTTTCTGCTATTGGCGCAATTCGCAATCAATTAACTCTTATGTACTCATAACGGTACATTCCTAATTATTGTCTAACCCAGTCACTCGGCGCACAACCATTTAAAGATTCTATTATGTCAGCTACTTCTGTTTTCTCTTATTCAACTTATGTCCAACAATCACTTTTATAACGCATGGAAGTATTCATTTAATAACTTTGTCATACTAAAAAAAAACACCATTTTTTCCGCCTTTATTAATATTACTTTTTTTCTAAGTGACCATTGTTAAATAATTAAATTCAAGGCGGTCGTCAACAGGAGTAGAAAAAAACCAAAGGAGCTGATGCAACTCTATGTGCTCTTGTGTGCACACTAAAGAATGTTCAGTAAAATACAAGGCGTTGATACCGTTATTATTATTACTATGAAATAATAGTAATTTAGTAAAATAAATCAATAATAAAAAAGCCAGTACTGTGGTCACAAGTCTAGAGAATTTAATATACCTAAAGGGGATAAAATCACTTTTAAATAAACGCTTCGATGCCCATATGGCATCATAAAAATTTACTTCGGTCATAGTGTACTTTTTGGTCTACTGTTGGAGAGCTAATGATAATAATATATTATATTTTATAATAACTGATAAAAACGAGTCAATAGTCTTCAATTAAATATATTTAATCATGTCTGATGTAGTTTCAACAAAAGTCAGTTATTTTAATAATTTTGATTGATGTATTAGAATGAATATTACAGTAATCTAAACAACGATTACATTAACATTAATCAGCCAAGTAATCGAATGGTAATATTACATTAATAATTTAATCGTAGTCTTGATTGCAAATAACTTTATTTCAATCTAGAGATAACTTTTACTATTTATGTTATGAAATAATATCTAACTGTTCTCAAAACAACTAGTTATAGCCTAAATATTAGGAGATTCAACTTTTTTTCAATTTTGTGTACAATGGTTAACAATTAATACAATCCTAATTACTTCAGTACCTTTAAAACAAATTTTAAAAAATTAAACAGGATTGATGATTGATTTATTTCAACCAATCGACCGACGATTAATAGAATAATGGTTAAATTTTTATTTCGACAACTTTTGATTAAATATATAGATGATGTGACAAGTAGTTCAATTTTAATTTTTAACTGACTGATCGATAGCTAAATAAAAAATACTATTATATTTTTTATACACATAGTTATATTGTAAAGGCTCTGGTGAAGTGGCAAATGTACCGATAAATTATTTTTCTTGTGAACTACTATGACTGCATTACTTAGACGTATTATGTCAATTCTATTTTATTATTGGTTAAGTATAAATATGGCATCGCACGTTTACTCTGACGAAGGGTTTCGAGAAACGCCTGTACAAATTATATACACTTATTGTATTATTGTTTATTCGCAATACATGTACATGGCTTATAATATTAGGACTGTTTGTTTTTTTTTAACGCCGCATACACTATCATGGCCACGTCGACTAAATCATTATTGTAAATAGTTTTTTTATTTTATTGAAAATATTATATTTAATAGTAGACAGTAGTTTGACAATAATATGTATTAGTGAAATTAGTATTTACATTTTCTCCGACAGTTCCAATTAACAGTACAATCGATGGGTATACGTTTTACATTTTTTATATGGCTATTTACAAATTACAATAATATTATCTATACATATAATAATAATAATTCAACAACGCAATTATTTTAAAAACTATGCCGTTGCTGATCGGAATCCGGCGGCATTTCAATGGTCGTGTCTTGGGGCAGTTCTAAGTTGTTGGATAATGCCGAAGTCGTCGTTCCGTTGCTGACACACGAAGATGACCTAACGTTATTGGACGGTATCCACGGCATCAGCTCCTTTGGATCAATTTGATCACTACAACAAAACGTTATAATAACATTTAATACAATTATGGTGATAACCATTTTAACGGGATACAAGTTTTTACAGGCCGGAGGTCGTTCCTTCAAAACGCATGATGATCTCAGACTCGGTTAGATGTGTTTTAGGTTTGGCTATATTCGGTTGGATTAGGAATGGATAGGTTCGGTTAGGTTAATAAGTTCATAAGTTTGGCCGACCTTAGCAGACTACAATATATTATTGGAGAAAATAATAGTGGAAAAATCGTTCATGATCATAATATTTTCAACTCCTCGCTCAAACAAAAAGATTAAAATAAATATCTCGAGAAAATCAAGATAGTTTTTATTTTTCCGTATGAAACCGATTAGCAGGAGCAACCTAACCTAACCTTAGTGACATAATAATTTATTCTTCGAAAATAGCTAAGGTTAGGTGCAAATTTCATTTAAAAACCACACTAAATCGTCCGTCTCCGACTGAGAAGGTTTATTAAATATTAAATAGTCTTTTTTAATAATATCTTATCCTTTATAATACTAAATGCACGGTTTAAATTTACTGTTTCAGTTTAACCTATATATTTTACACCACAAGTATTACTCATAGTATTTTATTCGCTTTGACGCAAAACTTAAATAAATAAGACGCTAAAACAATAAACAAATGTACAGCTTCGCTGTATTAAAATAGATTCTTGAACTAACCACACAAATGTGTTTACACGTTTTATTCGCAACAATAGTACACCATATGTATTATAAAAATTGCATATTTACAAACGATGAACACGTCATAGACAATGCAAGTATACCACTTACTTCTTCTAGACAAACATTTTCAAATTTTGTGTAGCACATATCTCAGTATATATAATGTTGTGTTGGCTGTTGTCATACTTCATTTAGCGTTTTAAATTTTTTATTTAAGAATCATTACCTACTTGAAAAAATGAATTTTAAAAGCATCATTTTGATTGTAACCGCCTTGCTTTGCATTATCATGTCAGCGTATGCAGGTAAAAAACATATAGTATATTATTTTTATACTGTGGTAAATTTTTAAACTTTTCTATGCATATTTAATTTTTTTTTTTTGATATTTCAGCTAAACCTACTGGTGTGGATCCTAACCGTAAGTTTTTGAGACTGCTATAACTTATGTAAATTTCAAAAGTGAAATTGAATAATATACATTTGTATTATTCTTTTTCAAATGACTGTAAGTTGAATGATAATATCAGTTTTTGGGCTGTGCAAAGATACTATCACTTTTAAAATGATTTACAATAAAGCTGGAAATGTGTATAATATGTTACTAATACATTACATTGTTGACAATAAAAATTAGTTTATCATGCCCATGATCATATTACTGTACAACATTTTACCTATGTCTAGTTGAAAAATTGTTTAAAAAACATAATTTGTGGCTAACAAATTTGAACGCTTTAGATCAACGACTAAAAATTATTATACCAACATATACATACTTGACAATTAAAAATTAAATTTGAAAAACAAGTATTTGAGTTATTTTTTTATGTTTCAGCACCACGCCCAATACCAAAACCACGACCAGCTCCATTAATAATACCACGACCGCCGATTTTTTGATAAAACTTATATAGGTTATAAAAGTATAATTCTATATGCAATTTTATCATTCGTTTTTCGAATGACTGTAAGTTGGATGATAATATAAGATTTTATGCTTTACAAAGATACTTTAAAATTAAGTTTTAAAATTATTTTCAATAAAAATAAAAATGTTTAATTATTATATTTAAAATTCTTTTATAAACAATGAACGATTTTAAAATAGTCGATACTAGTAAATACTAAGTTTTTAACGAAAATGGAAACGCCTTGTACTTAGTAATTTATAAAGGAGCCTAACTTATTTTGAATTGAAATTCATGTGTAAGCTAAATAAACAATTTTTTTACACAATATTTTAATATTTTTTTTTAGATGAAAATTAACGACAGTTAAATTTTTACCAACAAATCTACAGTATCCAAGAGCTGTGTCACATTCATACAATCATGTATATTATAAAATGTCCATCTTCGTTTATCATTATGTTTCAAACTTCAGGTTTTACTATTAATAATAACTATTCCATATTATTAATATTATAATATTATTTATATGATAGGTAACAAAATATATTGTTACCTTTCATATAAATAATTTTATGTTTATTGCATATACCTGTCTACCAATAAAAACAATATTCACCGAATAAGTAAATTTGTATTTTACTATCCAATCTATTCCAACTATTTGTTTTTTTTACTTCTGCTTCCTCCTCTTATAATCTAAGTAGTTTATGAGTAAAAACTAGTGTAGGGCGTTAAAAGGATCGCCTTGTACACTACTTACCAGATAGTGGGCTTTTTTATCGACGTCCAAGAACGGCCGTAGTTTTTCCTCGAAGTGATAAAACTGCGCTTGGTCTTCCACCTGAGCACGTGGTACTTTAATGTGTTTTGTACCTCGTGGTTGAAGAAACAATACAGCAGAGACACGGTGGATCCCTGGAAGAGCCACGGGGTGTGTCAATAATGTAACAATATTAATTCCACGCAACACGCGATTCACATACCTGAGTGCTGATTATGACGGCTTTGCTGTACTTATAAATAAACACTATGAGATCGGTCGAGCTCAGTTTGATTATGTCCAAGCAAAACGTGATGCCCAACAAAGGTATTAGCACCAGCAACGCTTTAGTGGCTTTTTTGTAGTTGTGCGTTTCCACGCAGTTGGTCGACCGCAATTTCGTGATGAGCACCTATACAATCCGACACAATAATATATACAGGATGATCCGATAAGGATGTAGGACAAGACACTGATTAATTATTTTTACTTGAAACAGTTATTGCAACAAGGTAGTTTTTCTTATTTGAAAACGCGCGTGTTTATGTCGTTTTACAATATCACATTTTTTCAAAGCTCTATCAATTTTTATTTTTAATTGAGAATAACGTGCTGAAAATTCCAACTGGTCGATAACTCGTTTTGGATGATTACTTTTGAAATCGCTAAAGTTTAAAAGTATAGTCATCCTAAAATTGACATTTTCAGCAAATTTGTCTTAATTAAAAAAGTAAATTAAATGTACATATACGTTACCTTTTAAGTTTCACACGTCGATAGAGCTCTGGAAACAAATTAACAAATATTTAGTAATTTTGTAAAACAACTTAGACTGTTTTCGAAAAGAAAAACTACAAAATTGTAATCGTTCCAAATAGGGAAATGAGTGTGGTGCAATGAAGCACCCTGTACACAAGGGAGGCCATCATAATCGGTTACCACACATAATCTCATCAACGGCAGCGGTTTTCTTTGCAGCTAAAAACAATAACGATTTATCCTAGGATAACTCACCCACATGATTATGAGCAGAAACAACGAATTTGCCAGCAAAACGATGGCGACGGGCAATTGAAATATCAAATCGTCCGTCGAATCTGCCATCAGCGGACACGCTTCGTATGTTTTTTGATTGATGAAATCCAACTGAAATACAAAACCGTTGTTCATTGCGATTTCTCGACTGATTTTAAAGCTATAAACGCAAATTCCGGTACTCACGTCGGTTTTGGTCGGCATCATTAGCTTCGTGACACACCAAGTAGGAATGATAATGAGTGGTATCCCTGAAAACGAAAAAGAGAATAATTTTCAGTATCGGCCATCACATAAACGATTATTGAACAAGAACCGAAATACATTTTTTGGGCTTAAGGTCTGAAAATGAGATTAAACGAAGGTCTAGAGTTGGAAGACTATAATATTTAATAAAACATAGTCTATCCATACTTTGGGTTGCCTTAATAGACATCGATTATAGAGGTCAATACTTATGCACATAGTAGTAAATTATAAAAAAAAATTGAGTATTTAGATAGTAAAAATAGCATTAAAGTAAAATAAATAATAGATGCGTATAAACTACTATGCGCATAAAATATTTTAGTATTTAGTACTATTTAGTGGTCGATCAGTTAGTATAAATTTTATTACTTGCCACTTTGTCTAAATATACAAATCATAAACCGTCCAACTAAAATATTAACCATTATTCAGTTAATCGTCAATCAATCGGTTGAAATAAATCAATAACCAATATTGTTTAAATTAACCAATAGTAATTTATTAATTTTTATCTCCTAATATTTCAGATATAATAGTTGAGAATAGTTTGATATTTCATAACATAAATGGTAAGAGTTATTGCTAGATAAAAATAAAATAATTTGTAATCGTGATTACAATTAAATTATTAATATTGTAATAACAATAATAATAATAATAATAAACAATAATAGGTAATAATAGCATACGATTACTTTTCTGGTAGATATTAATGTAACCATTGTTTAGATTAATGTAATTCTAACTCTTATTTTCGAAAATTAATTATTAATCGTAATCGCATTAACCGTTAATCAGGTTGTTATTTTCCCAACACAAACAATATGCAATCATAAATATACAAAAATCAAATCAGTTAAAGTTAGTTATAAAACAGCAATTTTAGTTGAAACTACAACAAATGTGATTGAATATATTTTAATAGTTCTCTATTGAAATTTGTATTAGTTATGAAAAAATATTTGTAATAATTAGTTCTACAAAGTTCTTTTTTAATTCCAAGAATATAAGTTTAAGGTCATTATATATGGGAAAGGCCTACGCGACGTTTTTCTAGACTGTAAAGTTATACTAAATCAATTATCACGCCTACAAGATGTATTTTTTCAGGAAAATATTTTTTTAACGATAATAACGAATAGGTATAATATCAACGTTTAACCGATCGAGCCTTTGGGTGATCAGTTGTATCGTCCACGCAAATGAAATATTATGATTACAAAATTTCGACTTATACAAGTACACTAATTGTAGGTTAATCCCCATAGTGCATATTACAAGGAAACTTACAGAAACACTATTAGATCAGGTTGTACCTCTTCTATTGAAGAGTATCCTTCTCATCATATTATATAAGCTTAAAACTTATTGTCAATTATAATTTAGTGTCTTTGGAAGAGGAAAGGTGCGATATTGCATTGAAAAAAAAAGTTATATTATTATTAGTATTATATTATCATCGACATCGTTTGACAGAACACCAGTAGGAATCTTACCGTTAGTAAAACTGGACTCGTTGCATTGTTGTCATGTCAACGATCATTCATCAGCTATTATACTGTTAACTTTATACTTCACCTAAATGCATAAAACGAAGAAAATAATTCCTCCCCTTTTAGGTGGAAAAGCTTGGTTTTGAAAGAGAAGGATATATTTTTAAAATTTTTTGGCTTACAAAAACCAAAATTAATCAAAATCACAATACCGCTTTGGTTTTTTAAAATAAAATTAATATTTTTGCTGAGTGGCGTATTAGCACTTCGACCCGGTTTAAGGTCATTATCCTATCTCGGAGAACACCCAGTCTGACGAGAAGCAAGGGAGAGCAAGACGAGTAAAATTACTAAAAAACACTGTTCATTTTTGAGTAATGATTAAAACCAGTATCTCGCAGGCAACCATACAAGGTATTTTTATTAATAGTTTATGATTTATGTATACTTTAAGTGTACTAGTCCATAATACATTATATCGGTTTACGGCTACACGTGGCCTTAACAAATTTGGGCGTTGGAAAAATTCCTTTTTAAACTGAACTCGTTTAGTTTCTTTTTATATGCTATTTTAATTGCCATGCTTACATCAGCGTCAGTGAAACAGCAGTCTCTTTAGCTAAAGCCACATCTTCTTTCCCATATACTCAGGTCTTTCCTTCCTCCTAACTTACTATGTACAATGGTATTGGCTTGTTATCCCTAGTCCCCTCAGCTGACCATAGGTATCCATGATTCCGCCAATTGGAGTTACCCCGCAAATATATTTCTTCCTTTTCACGACTCAAGAGACTGTCAAAGCCTACCAGCCTGTCTTTGCTTTTAAACTGGCTCTCAGCTCTATTCCTTTTTGCAATTTACACGTTGAGGTATCTGTCAGCGATTTTCCACACTTTTTACTCGATTTCCTGTCCCTCGCATCTAACATAATCCTTCTCTTTAATTTCCTAGTGGCCCATGATATTGCAAATCTTGTTCCTTTTAGTATCCTCAATTACCGACCGTCTCCAATTATTACTGCTATTATTTCTTTTCTTCTGAACGCTGTTTACACTATTTAGATCACTCTTTTTTTTCTGTACATAGATTACATTACTATTATCTTCCACTTCTATATTTATAATACTATGCAACTATTAAACCATTATGTAATGCTATTTTGTTAAATTTCCAATCTACCTTGTAAATTTGAATATAATATTATTATGTAATTGTCCAGTCGTATTCTTATATTAATAAAGGCTATAAAAAAAAACTTTGTAATTATTTAAAAAACAAAAAATGAACGTGCGTGTTCATAATTTATTATATAGGATCACGGCAATACATGACCTTCCTCCAGCTCAGTATTTGGATAGTAACTCAAAAGTACAAGTAGGACAAGTAATTGTAAGGTGATGTCTTTGTTGAAACACATTTTTTTTTAATTCGATAAAATTTAAACATAATATTTTATTATGTGTGCGTACAACATAATAATATGACATGTTTCATCCGTCATTGCTAGACAAACAAACTCGGAGGTTGTAAAACTGACACTGGGTATGATTTTTTTTTTTATGTATTTACCGGTTCAGTCGCTATTAAAAAAAAAAAATTATAATTACAAACGAACGATTCTCGACGAAAAAATGCGAGTGGGTTGTTGCTTTAGTTTTCTAGTAAAAAAAATATATACAAAATAAACTAATCGGTTCGTGTAACGACCGACGTGTTTGTTCCAAGGACTCAACAGACGATTCCTGCTGGCATTACAGATTATGATATTATTGGTAAACGGGTTTCTTACAAGTCTCATATTTAGATACTCGAACCCGAGCGGTAGGTAAGTGCGTTTAATATACATATAAATATATAATTATATTCTTATGATCGTTGCCCAGACGTTAGGATCTAACGATCCGCAGGCATAGCGGTTATATTATACTACTTGTTTACAGGTGGAATGGAAGACACTGTGATGCGACAGTACTATTAATAGCATAATATATTAATTTTTAAAACGCACAATCGTGGTAAATCATAAAAAGTAAAATTTATCACAATGTAACGTATTAAACAAGCGTTCGTATCTTTTGCATACCGAGCGATTCTTTCAGCGCCCCACACTGGTTTTCTCTTAAAATTATTGCTATTTTGTAATTTTTCTATTAACATGGATAATATATGTTGTTGGGCTGAACATAATAAATTTCCTGTCGCAATTTTCATACTTTCAAGTGATAAGAGATGAGAGAAATAGATAAATGATAAGAGAGAAGTGATAAGAGATAAAATATCCATGAATCCAATGTTTTTCCGTGGGGCGCAGAAAATAACTAGACTCTTTTTTAAAATAACTTTGTTTATGTTGTACTGTAAATGACTATATAGACAAAAATCTTTTGTTGGCACTTTCTAGAGCTTTATCGATATTTGAAACTTAAACAGTAACGTACATAAATTATTAACTTCTTGGATTAAGACTAATTTTCTGAAAATGTTGACTGATCTACAGATAGTTGTGAGTAGGAGAAAGGGTGGATTGTAGTGCTATTGCCTATTTTTATATGCACCCACTACTCAATTACAATAGACCACAAACACTACATTTTAAACTTTACTATATATTATGTATATTAGGTTACCATTTAAGTCTCAAAATTTGATTAGGCTCTAGAAAATATTAAAAAGACAAACATTTGATGTAATAAAACATAAACAAAAATTACAACTATTTTAAAAGAAAACAAGAGCTTTAAACGAATTACCGGTAGAATAACATTAAAATCTTAATAACACATCACGTGCTAAAAATAAAATAAAATTCGGCCTTGAAACCAAACAAATAAATAGGGTTGTTTTACTCGTTTGAATATTATTTATCGTTAAATTCGAATGTAGTAAACACTACATTTATTATAGAAGGCGTTTCATCTGTAGAAAGACTTGGATTTCCTCTTGAAATAATTGCAAATTTGTAGTTTTTTTTTTTTTTGAAAGCGGTTTCGTACAAATGTTGTTAAATAGTTTTCTTTAATGACATAACGAAACAATCAAATAACTTAAAAATGTATAAAAAAAATATACATATATCGATTGATTTTTTTTATGTTTTATGTAATCCTGTTTTATTTTTAAGGACATTTTTAATTGTAAAAAAAAAATATATAAAAACTGGTTTTGGTAAAAATATATATAAAAAAACACACAAATTTAATTAACTATTTAAATTAAGAATAATTTTTCGGAAATTTTAACTGGTCTATAATCAGTTTTGGACGATTCCTTTTAAAGTTATACAAGTAAAGAAACTATTTTTATGAAGAATATTTTAATGATAAAAATAAAAATCGCTGAACGAGTTAGTCAATATTTGTTTTGGTAATGCGTTTTTTTTTTTTGAGGAAGTGGAGTGGAAATACTTAGTTGAGTTTTATTTAAGGATTTGCGAGGTAAACAACTTCTTTTAGCACTTTATAAGAGCGTCGACGATTAATTGTATTTAGAGTAGATTTCGGTCTAGCACA